TTGGGGTAAAATATCAACATACCATGCTTATTTCATTATATAGAAACATAGTATATAATAATTTCATCTTTTGCTTACTTTTAAACTTTTATTTTCATATAGTGGTTTTGTTTTCAAGTAAAGACTGCTCAAGCTCACCAGATTTGTTATTTTACTATTATTCGAATGTCTGCTGGTTCACAACCATGTAGATCGCCGTTTCCTTCAGTAGTGCTGGAATCAAACAATTTAGACATGGATCCACCGCACATAACGACTATGGCTCAGTAACTCATTGGTCAAAAGGATTCCTAACAAAAAATAAGCAACAATATAGAAAAATGAAGATACAAGAGAAGTTTATTATTATTATGATAATATTACAATTTGTATATTTTGGCTATGAATTAATTACCTGCAATTTAATCAAATACACTTTTATAGAATAATAATTACTATGGTTTACTTCACTGCGACGTTTCCACAACGGGGGGGGGGGGGTAACGTTCTATTCTTTGGAACCTTATATACACTCATATTACATTAATATGTAAAATCACATATTAATGTAATATGAGTGTATATATAGTAATTTACACCCTTTTAAAAAATGTTATTGTAACTTATAATCAATTAGTTCGGTGAAAGATGCGAACAGTCCAAATTTAACGACATTCGTTTGTGCTTGGTTAGTCCATCCAACATTTGTTTTTTATTATTATTATTTTGTCGTTCGTCAATCAACCATATCTAATTACTTCCGCGTTGTAATCTTGGGTATGCTTTCCTCTTTTCATTACTAACTGTGCTCGAAAACATTACATCCGTAGTATTTCTGAAACGTTCACTCAAAGTTGATATGCGGATGCCATATTTTTACGGTTAGATAACAACATCAATATTGATTGAAATGGAGCAAATTTGAATTCTAATCCGTGTTTTTAATTTCTAATATAAAAAGTAAGAAGTTGGGCTCCTTTAAATGAGAAATACATTTGACACACTTTACTGCATGGTCTAGTCAATGACCTTGGATATAAAAATACTTGTAACGAAAGAAAACAAACAACTATTCAACCTAACATGTATTTTGACAGTGAAAGGCCCCTTTTCCTAAATTATTCCTTTATTAAATGACTAATACGAAACTAAACTAAATATTCATACTATATTTAAATACAACAAATCAAGTCGTGATATATTTGAGTGATATACGATAGCGGAATAACAATGCGTTATAATTTCGGAAAAAAATATCAAAAGTATGTTTGTTAAAAATAATAATACCTGTGTTTGCAGTCTCGGAAAATCAAGGAAACACAGTAAAGATCGAAAAGTTCCTGTGGATTTTCCAGGTCAGTTTATAGTCGTTCGGATAGAACGTTAACCCGAGGTCCCGTGTACACATTGACTCTTACGAAAAATAACCCCTGACATCTGAGTAGACCGTAGTACCGCTGTCTGGGGGGGGGGGGGGGGGTAAAATTTACTTCGTAGTAAAACGCTCGCTTGCAAACCAGGATGTTTGTAGTTTGCTCAGGCTATTGACAGAGAAAGTTCATTCGTATGGGACGAACAACTGAAGTATCGTTCACACTTTGGTGTGCACGTAAAAGAACCCTTGACTGTTGAAATTAGAAATAAAATAAGAGCAGGTCGTAGTGTGGCTGTCCCGGGCAAAATTGCCCGTATGACAGACTGTTTCACGTTTCCACGTATTAATTATAGCTCAGTTGGAGGAGAACAGTAGGACGTTAAACCCCATTTCATTTCAGTTGATGTGTTTCTGTTTATCTTTCAAACAACATAAAAATTGTTTTAGATTAGTAAGTGAGGGGTGTACGCCTTTCACTGTAATACTAGAAGTTACAAACTTTGTCCTGCTGATTCATTGAGTGAACGAAGCCGTACTAGTTCAGTATTGGATTTATCCGTGAACTTACTAAGCTAATCTTTCCATAATTTTATTTTCTCTGGTTAGACATGTTTAGTGTGCAAAATATGAACTTGCCCCAATATGTTTAAAATACAGATCTTTATTTCGTTTCATGTTTAGTACCCTGGATGTCTTCGACTACATGACGATCTGACCCGTTGTTGGTCAGGTGTCATTCGAGCGACGTTCCACCCTATAAAAAATGTATGACGACACTGCTTCTAATATTTGGGACTCATTAAGTCGCATCGCTGTCATCCTTATCAGTGATTGTAGCGGCCTAGCGAAAATTCACTACTGATCAGTGTCCTCGCCTACGTCTATTTGCTATTTGTGCGGACGTATTTTAATATCAGCTATCCGAAACTTTGAAGAGGAAAACATCATATTATTTAAAAATAAAAACGTCCTTATATCTTAATACCTTGACCGACATGTGAACAGTACAAATTTTTTAACCCTTTTTTGATTGGTCATAAAAAAAACACCACATAAATTAATACTAACATCAGCTATAGCAATGACTCAATAGTCCATTTTCGTTTTTAAAAAACAAAGTTATGAGATATGATATCTGGCTCATACAGGACTGTTGTTTCTATTTCTCAATTGTCGAAAAATGAAAAAAGGCAAGATGGTGTTAAATAACTCATATGTTTTCGTGTTGATCTATACTGTGAATTCAGGTACGTTTATCTTTAAAACATCATGTTTATAACTATATAATTATATGCATAACATATAATAGGGTAAATATATCTTTTATATCTTGTGTTTATAACATATTAAAGGGTAATGAAATGAAAAGAAATGGGGTTTAACGTCCTACTGTTCTTCTCAGACTAAATAAAGGGTAAATATATATAAATAAGTCTTAGGTTTATAACATAATGAAGGGTTAATATATAATTTATCATGTCTATAACATATTGTCATAAGAAAGTTTAAATATATCTTATATGACATGTTTATAAATGTATAATTATTATATATGTTATATCATGTTTATAACATCAAACTATGCGTTAAAGATGAATTGTATGCTACTTGCATCTAACATAATTATGGCAAACAGACTGCATATATCTAGCATACGACGTATATATACTGCATATACCTATTCTAGAATATGAATTATATACATGTACTTCATGTATCCAAAATAGGATCATGTATCTAACACAAGATATGCCGTATATACCGCTTGTTCGATCTCTGCGTTGGCCGAGAAAGTTCATCGGGATTTTCCGGCGTGGTTTTCCCTTTTCAGTGTAGGACAGAGGGCCCGGCAAGGGACAACGTATAGTCGTTCGGGTGGGACAAAAAAAAACAAGGTTCCGTGTACACATTGATGTGCGCCTAAAAGAACCATTGGCATGTGGAATTTTAAAATTTGTAGTCCATATTGCAGCTGGCCGGGCAAACTTCCTTCATTGTTCGCTGCATGGCGTATGTCCGTCTTCATTAGCCCAGTAGGAGCAGCAGAACAGTAGGACTTTAAACCCTTGTCCATTTCATGTCAAAATATGATATGACTTATTAAACTAGGGCGTTTCACGTTTCAACTTTTTCGACACCAATTCTGAAAGATTTTCTGTACTGTCTATTACGTATTCTGATGCTTCTTCACCTCCATAGCTTCTCAACACCATTAAACCTTGCAGAACCCTTCGATCACAATCAGACAACCTTTTAATTAAACCATTTTCGAAAACCAACTCCGGTGATAGATCTTTCACGGTCGGTATTTCGAAGTTATGGAATTCAATATCAAACGAAACCAAAAGCGCAAATTCTATTAAAGGTTTTAAAAAGAATCCCAAAACCGAACTTTTTAATCAAATATACAACTGATTGAATACGGTTCTAGCTGTGTTTGTGTCAGGATTTACCATGTGTACTAAAAAATGTTCTCTGTTTTTTGTTTATGTCTTTTTTATGGATTAATGTGTTGTGATTGTTGTAATTTTATATAAGTTGTACTTATGTAGAGCACCCGAGAGCAGCTCGCTGATTTGAATTGTCGGCGCTATATGAATTAATTATTCTTCTTATTATTATTATTATCAATCCAACCTGGCTATGTGTCCTACGTTTCCATTAGGGCCCCATATTATCACTACAAAGTTTCAGAATTTTCCCGTCAAAATTGGTGGAATGTCGCCATTTTGAATTTTCCCACCAAAGTGGCCTACAGATCGCTAATGAATTCCTCGTTGACTTTAATGTTAATTCTCGTCTCTTAGATCGACACTAACATTTTCCCAAATTTTTGTTGGGTAGAACGCTTTCTACCACAGATGGAGCAACATGTGGCAACCTCTTGCTCAAAAGCACGTATGAGGTTCATCATGGAAAACGTGGGATACACAAACTGGAAGTAAAGGCAATTAAACATGCAATTTTCCACCCCACATTTCAACCTAACCAAGCTCTCAACTCTCGTATCCTTCTGCCTCAAAATCATGAATATTCACCAAAGCCTGGCAGAAAATGTATTTTCACACTCTTTTCTTCGATTCTACACCAAAAATCAACAAAGATAAAATAATAAAATATTGTGGCCACATATATTAGCAGGAAGCATTATATTTATCGTTGAAGCTTGTGAAAAAAATACAATTTGGGTTGGAAAATTCAAAATGTCGACACGCCTAATTTTAGCTAGACCATTATGAAACTTTGTAGTAATAATTTGGGGTCCCAAACACATAGATAGCCGGGTTGGGTTATTCGAAAGAGTTGAAGTTATATACCGGCATATTCCGTACATGCGACATATCTTTAACATAGGATATGACTTATACATAATAGGTTAACTGTATATCGTATAACATGCATGTTTTCTATGACATGATCATAATATCGAAAACTTTGATAAACAGTTCTTAATAAGAGCATGTAACGCACATAGCCTATGATGTATAAAAGAAAGTAGCATTTGTTTATTAAATATAATACATATCCTCCTACATTTCAGTTTTATCCTGTGATGTTACTGACACTGAAATAACACAACAACATAAACAGGCCGAACTGTCTTTTAAATTAAATAAAATAACTGATGTGGACAATATTTATGAAATACAGAAACCTGGTGGTAATATTCTGTACCTAGGTTCGCCTGGCCAGTTCAAACTTTTAACCAGGTGGATAAATGAATCCAAGAGAATCAATGAAACAGTCAACAATATAACCCTATTTTCATTTCAACTGGAGGATGTAACGTCACACGATGCTGGTGTATATTGTTGTACATCTGGGGGAATTAAAGTACCTGGTTGTGGTGTAAAACTCATAGTTACAGGTAAATACTCTTATTACGGTGGCTAGCCTGGAGGTCGGGTGTTCGATCCCTGCATTTGCCGAGAAAGTTCATCCAGATTTTTCGGCGTGGTTCCTCCTTGTCTGTGATGCAGGACGGAGGGTCTGACAATGACAGATGTCTAGTCGTTCGGATGGGACGAAAAACCGAGGTCCCGTGTACACATTGGCGTGCGCTTAAAAGATCCCTTGACAGTTGGAATTCGGTATAAGAGTAGGCCGTAGTGCCGCTGTCCTTGCGAAATTCCCCTCATACTACACTGTATGACGTATGCCCATCTTCATTAGCCAAGCAATGAACAGTAGGACGTTAACCTCATTTCATTTTATTTCATTTCTTATTACGTTAGATAGTTACCACAGTTACGGTAAATAATGTTCTTAAAGTAGATAGGTATCATAGTTACAGGTAAATGGTGTTATTACTGTAGATAATTGCCATAGTTACAGGTAAATAATGTTATTATTGTAGATAATTGCCATAGTTACAGGTAAATAATGTTATTATTGTAGAAAGGGTTAACTGATATTTACCGGTTATTTATGTTATTATTGTTGAGTAGATTATAATATTAAAGAGATTGCTGTTCTTGCGAAAATAGTTCCAAAATAGATAGTGGAAAATGAATATTTTGAAAATTTCATTTAAATTACTTTATACTCATGGGCTTGGAGTCATGACTGTGTGAAGATAAGACACCAATATGAACGGTTAACGAAGAAGTGGTGCGGATGGTCTAAAATACCAAGCATCCGATAGTATTATGTAGTTGTACAAATAATGATTTTTATATCACTTGTAGTCAGAAAAAATGACCTGCAATAGACAGATTTAAAGATGCATTATGGGAGATTCGATAATGATTTGGCAGTTCTCAATATAATAATTAAAAACTAAATAACGTAAAGGCAATTTGCTGAAAATTTTATTCAAATTGATCCACTATGAACCGAGAACTAAGCGAATGAATTTTCTGCCTAGCCTCGGTCATCTTTACTAAAGTCAGTACGATAAACATCATAGTCTCGATTATCAATTTTAATGGTTTAATCGAGAAGGAAAGTTATGCAGTAAATCGGCTCACAATCCACTTAAGATCGCAGGCTAGCGATGCCATCTAGAGATGATTATGGTCTGGATAAGTTAATTAATGTCTAATTAATAAATTAGATAACATTTCAGGCCTAAAGAAAGACCTGCAATAGACAGATTTAGCTCTTGCATAATGTATGTTTAACTTTATTATGTTTATATTTGTGTACGTTTGCGATATATCCGTGAACAAACTGGCTGATGAAATGTTTCTTTAATTTATTACGGATAAACCAAGTATTAGATTATCTGCACCACCAGAACAGCTAGTTCTACAACTAGTGAATGACAAATTATTAGGGGAGCTAACTCTGACTTGTAACGCTATATCTACAACTAAACCAGTTGATCACTATTTACCTATGATGTATATATGGTTTAAACATGGTATATATTATGATAATGGTAGTATACTGCAAGATAGAGATGTTGATATAAATGATAAAGGAGATGATATAATCTGTATAGCTACAGATGACCCTCATTGTAAAACTGGTTCTACATTAAACACAAGTAGGTTCCCTATCTCCTAATATACCTATTCTAGGTCTCACTGTGTTGTCTTTGGCTAGGTCGTAGTTCAGTGTGTTTATGTAAACGGTTTGGTCAACCTGGCGTATACAACGGATGTCTCATTTAGAAACAAATTATCGGTAATAACTATGTCAGTACCGGACTCGGCCTACAACCTCCCTTGTGTGTGAATCTTAATATGTCTTCTATTTGATTAATCTTATATCCATAGTCTTATTGGCACGACCAATTTCTACCTTATACATTTGTGGGTTAAATTTGAAGACATATTACCGTGGTGACCAATTTCACAAACAATTAACCTTTATATTCGACATATTACTATGGTTTCTACGCAATATATTTCTCGGATAGACGTCATCGTGTACACATTGATTATTCAAGTACTGAATTTTTGTTTTTTGTTTAAATATTATCAGTTATCGGGAATACAAGATGTAAGGATGTTCTGGGTTTCTCAGATAGTTTTATTCTACAACCAGAATGTGAGTAGACAATTTTAAACTTTTAATTTTATTCCATTTGCTATAATTGTCATATACCTTACATGTGTCACTTAGCGTTCTACTTCCGCGCCGTATACAAACAATAGTACTTTGGGTAACAACACAATTAACTTTAGTTGGGTAGTTATCTAAAATATCGGATGTGCCATATGATACAATATTAAAGATACATTTTGTAAGAGCTAAAGATGCCTGATGTAGATCATTACTTAGACATTTATTCACATGACAAGCCCATAGTAAACTCTCTAGACCATAAACCGGTTTAGATTTTTAACGGATTTATTGCACGTTAATAATTTAATTAAAAAATGAAAAATCGAGACTTTGTTCATTATCAAGACAACGGTAGCAATGACAATCGGAACTACACTGCTTTTCTGACGCTCAGACTGAAGTAATTTGACTAAAATTGTCAACTTATTCCCATTTCATTATCTATTTTGTAACTATTACATTGTATAGCCCGGAACTGTCATCTATTTATAAGAAGCTAAACCGTACATAATACATCTTTAAACCATGACGATAATAATTATATTACAGATGGGCAATATCGTACAACATTAAACTATAAATATATTACTGATGGACCATACAATACAACATTAAACTATGATGATAAAACACTATAAATATATTGCAGATGGGCCATACGATACAACATTATACTATGATGATAAAACACTATAAATATATTACAGATGGACCACATGATACAACAGTATACTATGGTGATTAAACACTATAAATATACATGTATTACAAAATTACAAACTAAGTCATTTCGGGACAAACAAATGATTCAATTTTATTTCAATAATTCGCTTACGCGTAAGGGTATTTAACATTGGGAGGAAACTGGAGGACCCAGAAAAAACCCACGAGATTGGACAGGAGATTCTACTCCTTCTCACGTCAGGCGATACGTTTCAAGTCAGTAGCTTGAAGCGTATATATGGTATTAGTGTCAGTGGCCTGTGGCACGAAGTAACAGTATATTGTCGCATACATAATATATTATGTCAACGCTTGGGCGATATAATATATTATGTCAACGCTTGGAACTAGGATGGAGGTGACTAGGCATGAACTTGCAACGATAGATTTAATTGGCGCTTTGATAACCAATGAATGCTTTGGAGACATATTTTGGCGGTATTTTCCATCATGGAATCGGTAAGTTTCGATTGTTTTTTTCTTTTCTGTTTTTTCTCTCTTTTCTGTGTCCTAACCCTAACCCTAACCCTAATCCGAAAGAAAAGTGCCCTTTTTTGAAATTCTGACATCACAGGTGCCCTTTTTCTGATAAGGATGCCCTCTTTTATTTACAGGGACACTTTCTATTGTTAAGGGGGTGGACCGGTCCCCATGGTCCAACCCCTGGATCCGCTCTGATGACGCGTACATTCCACTGAGTCTACAGGTCTAATATGCTAACACGCTTGGAGCGTCAACACAATATATTATGTCGCCCAAGCGTTGACATAATATATTATGTATGCGACAATATACTGTTACTTCGTGCCACAAGCCACTGACACTAATACCATATATACGCTTCAAGCTACTGACTTGAAACGTGCAGGGTGCTCACGTACAACTGGGGAATCATTTCGGGACTAACAAATGATTCAATTTTATTTCAATAATTCGCTTACGCGTAAGGGTCTTTAACAGTGGGAGGAAACCGGAGGACCCAGAGATTGGACAGGAGATTCTACTCCTTGTCACGTACAACTGGGGAATTGAAACCACGCCAGTTGACTCAGTGACAGACCTTATGATGCAACCGAACGCGCGAACCATTTGCCCCCCCCCCCTCCCCATGTGGATAAACAATATAAATAGATTACAGATGGACCATATGATACAATACTATACTATTGTGATAATAAAAATATACCTAATTTAATATGCCCAGTCATCAAATTTATCATATGTAAGTAATTTAATGCATATAATTATATAGTATCCATATATATAGTATGTAAACATATTACTGACTCATCTATCTATCTTATATACTAATATTTGTGACTGTCGTTTGTCTGTCTGTCTGTCTGTCTGTTCTGGGTTGGCGGCTACACTAGGTCTGCCCCGAGTCTGAAATTTGGGGTATAGGGGTAGCTCGGATCGGGGAGTAACATAGGCCAGGTGGCGTTAGTCTACCACTTCCGGTTTCGGAGTTATGACCCCCGACCGAAGCCGGTCTGTTCGGGGTTGGCGGCTACACTAGGTCTGCCCCGAGTCTGAAATTTGGGGTATAGGGGTAGCTCGGACCGGGGAGTAACATAGGCCAGGTGGCGTTAGTCTACCACTTCCGGTTTCGGAGTTATGACCCCGAGCGAAGTCTGTCTGTTCGGGGTTGGCGGCTACATCTGCCCCGAGTCTGAAATTTGGGGTATAGGGGTAGCTCGGACCGGGGAGTAACATAGGCCAGGTGGCGTTAGTCTACCACTTCCGGTTTCGGTGTTATGACCCCCCGAGCGAAGCCGGTCTGTTATGGCTTGGCGGCTACACTAGGTCTGCCCCGATTCTGAAATTTGGGGTATAGGAGTAGCTCGGACCGGGGAGTAACATAGGCCAGGTGACGTTAGTCTACCACTTCCGGTTTCGGAGTTATGACCCCCGAGCGAAGTCTGTTCGGGGTTGGCGGCTACACTAGGTCTGCCCTGAGTCTGAAATTTGGGGTATAGGGGGTAGCTCGGACCGGGGAGTAACATAGGCCAGGTTGGTGACGTTAGTCTACCACATCCGGTTTCGAAGTTATGACCCCCGAGCGAAGCCGGTCTGTTCGGGGTTGGCGGCTACACTACGTCTGCCCCAAGTCTGAAATTTGTGGTATAGGGGTAGCTCGGACCGGGGAGTAGCATAGGCCAGGTGACGTTAGTCTACCACTTCCGGTTTCGGAGTTATGACCCCCGAGCAAAGCCGGGTATCCTGCTAGTTAAGTAATAAAATATTGTTTTACAGATAGGCCATATGATTTTCCCTTTAATCTATGCTGACAAAAAACTATAATTATATTACAGATGGACCATATGATCTACAATTAATCTATAATGATACAAATCTAAAACCTGATGAAGAAATAAAGAAACGTTTAGGAGAAGAATTGTCTGTTAATTGTATGAGTGATTGTAATCCAGCATGTAATATCAGTTGGAATAAAGATGGGAAAATATTGAGTAATAATTCACAACTCAATCTACCAGATCTACAAGAATCCGATAATGGAGTTTATTATTGTGGACTATACAATATACATGGTACCAGATATATATCTTTTATCCTAGATCTACATAGTGAGTAATTCATTGAATATTAACCTACTAAATAATTTCACATATTCAGTTACTCAGTAGGTTTCCTCCAAACTGTCCAACTTTGAATATTAGTGACGGTCTTGTACTGTGACAGACTGTATGTAAAAGGTTGGAATGATTACAGAACAGATACAAATTAAATACTACCAAACCCCACCAATACTGACTGAGTATGTTGAAAAATATTGTATCGATGTTCAGAATCAAGGCGGAAATCTGACACTATGTAGTAGTTTTCAAGGTAGGCATAGAATTGGTTGCCATACATATCCAAATGCTACTAATAGTATAATATAATGTATGTAATGGTTTAATGTTTTAACTTTAATTTACGTTTACAGTATTGACAGACCCTGATTGTTGTCCACCAGCAGAAAACTCAATGTCAAGTGATGACGTCGCTTTAGTTGACATTGGCGAAAGGATAATGGTAGTAAGGGAGATAACTGGGTATCCTAAACCTTCAATAGAAATGGAATCGATGATATTACCAGTAGGGATTAGCCGTCATTACCGATATATAAATTATACCCTGGTTAATACATCTAAACCCCATCATTATAATCTTAGTCTTTCTGTATATGTTGTTACCAAGCATTACATTGGTAAATATTGTATTTACTTAAAGAACAAGTATGGAGTCGTGCATGTTTGCCACACACTAATGCAGGGTTCGTATATATATTATTATTATTACAGAGCTATTCGATAATAGCCTAATTCGCGATTATACATGAGCAGTTGGGGAAACCGAAACACCAGGAGGCAGGCAACCCCACTTGCAAATGTTGGATCGAAACCACCCCACTTGACCTAAAGTCAGACCTTAGGATCTAAGGCGCTTGGGAGTGGTCCCGACCTTTAATCACATGACTACCTGCAATCACGCTAGACGGGCTTGCATTTAAACAATGGGAGAAGGATCAAAATATATGTCACTTGAAGACACTGTATACCTAACATAACCCACCAACAAACCTTGAAGTATCAAAAGGAATATGAGAAGTGTACCATTTGAATCTGTGAAGAGAACTATATACTATAAATATATAACTATCGCATCATATACCGTCTAACTCCCCTATACCCACACAGAACAATAATCACATAAACCCAACGCTCAAGACAGACGTTCTGAAAATAAAAGGAATCTTTTCCGGATTTAGCAAGTATTTTTAAACAAAAGGTTACTTTTTTATTACAGCTACCAATGGTGTGATAAATACTTCGACTGGAATTAGTATTGTCCTTTCTATTATTGAACCATTACTATTAATAACTGCCTTTATAATTGGTTTAGTTTTTGTCAAGAAATGTTTTAATAGTAAGTTATATATATTTTATAGAACAAAGTGCCATTCAAACATGAAGTCCGACAATTCTTATCTGTGCAAAACAGACGATCTGCATTTAAGACTATTACTGACATGAAATGTAATGAAATAAAACGGGGTTTAACGTCCTACTGTATTCTTCTACTGGGATAATGAAAATGAAGACGGCCGTACGCCATGCAGTGTTCTATAGGGAAACTCTTATTTCGAATTCCAACTGTTAATGTGTATACGACACCTCGGTTTTTGGGCCCACCCGAACGACTATACGTTGTCTCTTACCAGGCCCACCATCCCACGCCACTGACGAGGCGAAACTGCGCCTGAAAATACCTATGAACTTTCTCTTCTAATGCACGGATCGAACAAGGGACCTCCAAGATTAATTCATCTTGGAGTTACCACTTTCCACGATTGACAAATACTTATCATATTAATCACCCGGCAAATATTGATATAATTCAAACATTTTACAGGCATGGCCCTCAATACAAGAACCATTCCTCTTGAACATCATTATGACCAAGTTGCCATGCGGTTTAACGTCCCATGTTTTCTTCTACTGAGCTAATGAAGACGGGCATACGCCATGCAGTGTTCTATGGGGGAAACTTTGTCCCGTACCAGCCCTCCGTCCCACGCCAATGACATGGCGAGACCACGCCGGAAAATTCCGATTAAATATCTCAGCCAGGGCACGGATCCAACAGGGGAACTCCAGGTTAGCGAGTCCACGTCGTACTCACTGAGACCACTAGTATCACCTAAAGTTTAATTCACCCTGGAGTTACTACCACTTTCCACGATTGACAATTTAATACTTACCTTAATAATCGCCTGGCAAATATTGATATAATTCAAACTTTTTACAGAGATGGCTCCCAATACAAGAACCAATCCGCTTGAACATCATTATGAACAAGTTACCATGCAACAGTTTTCTACAGATCTTACTACACTAAATGTGCCTTCTAATAGAACACATTTACGCGACAGGGAATCTGTAATTACTTCTTCAACGCAAAGATCCCCCGAATATGCACGACCAGTTTCATTAATTGTCCATGGACTACCAGATTATGACCAGCAAGAAAATCTAACTGATGTGGTCGAAGATGATGGTGATAATGAAGATTCTGGTGATGATAGTGTTAATGATACCAGTTCAGCTTCCATGTGTATGAACTCTCCCTCATCAGTACCAAATGTCTATGAAAAACTCAATAAAAATACCCGAATCGCACAACTAAATCTATACAAGAAACTTAAATGGTAAACCGCAGAATGGTGACCATACTTCTCCAAAATTCATTTCTACAGCAGAATGTTGACCATAAATCTCCAAAATTCATCCCTACAGCATCCAGGACATTACCATAGAAGACTTTTTAGGGAACTGATGAACTATCAGAATGAAGGCAATAAACAGGACAGCCTGTCTAAACACTCTTCGTTAAACTTCCCACATTAATATATTACTTAAAGCAGCATTAGGCAAGATTGTCTAAAAAGCCAATAGTTCTCGCTATGATAGCTAAAATAATAATGCAAAGGGAATATGTTACAAATTACTTCACTCTGAATCTCACTATCGGCGATACACGTGTAGTCTAGCCTCGATTGTAATTTCTACCGTTGCTACGGTAATAAACAAAGTCTCGATTTAATCCATTTTTACGGTAACCTCATCAATAGCAAAACGTATTTAAATCTATTTAATATCATTGCCATCCTATGACATCGAGAATTAAATATGGTCTTGGCAGGTTAATTAATGTCTAATTAATAATTTATATAACATTTCAGGCCAAAATAAAGAGCTGTCATAGGTAGATTTAGCTCTTTCATAATGTCAGTTTAATGTATATATATTTTTTGTACAGATTAATTCGCTGCTTTTGTTAATGTTTATTCTGTTATATTGTTATATTTTAAGACACCTTTGTGGAATCGAATAATTGTTTTATATGCTTCTCGGATTTTCAAGTTGTATGGCAAGGTGGGTTAATGGTGAAATTTAGATAATTCTAGTTATGATGTAAGTGTTGCTTTATGCTTTGATTTAATTTTTCATTACATTCTGTATAATATATAATTACGTATTTGCTTTATTTCTATTTTTTGAAATGTGGGCGTATTGCGTCGTCACCCTGTACGTCGACGGATATTTTATCAAATTTGGTGTGAAGCATTGTTGTCACGAACCCTGTCTATATTCAACATTCAGTGTACCGTGTTCCAACCGAATTTGAAAATAAAATAGGTTAAAGACCTCACGCGGTGTTCGGCAAAAGTGGGAGGGGTGGTAACTCGGAACGGGAGGCTGCAGAATATGAATATAGATAATATTCGATGATCCAATGCTTCAAGCCAAATATGGAAAAGATCTATTAAAAATTATAGCATTTATCGCATTCACAAGTTTTTCGGAAACTCGGAACGGAAAGTCGCGGAATACTGACTACCCATAGGTTCATCCTCCCATGACCGCAATGCTTCCCACTAAATTGGGAAAACGTCCGATGTAAACAACGCACGTGTTATCGACGACCTACGACGTTACACGTAGAACTTTACTCTTCCGATCAAACTTCTGAATAGTATTGAAGTAAAATGTGGTTGTTTATGTAATTAAGTAAGGATGTAAGTATATTGCTATCAGTGTATGTCGATTTCCTTCAATAAGTGGTCATTAGTATCATTATAGTTCTCTAAACAGGCACATTTAAATGTTTTATGTTTTTTATAAGATATCAATTATACCATGCTAATTTTTTAGAAACCCAATATATAATTATTTCATAATTTTCTTGTTTTGAAACTTTTATTATAGTAGATTTGTTTCAATTAATCAATTAAAGATCGTTCAGACTCGCCATTTGTTGTTTGTTGGCTTACCGCCATCTAGATCGCTGTTTCCTATAGTAGAGTAACGGAATCACACAATAAGACTTTAAAAGTCATGTCATTTTAGAGATTTGCATCTACCACAGCAAGGGAGAACATGATAACTATAGCGCAGTAACCGGTCTGTCAAAATTGATTACATAGGTTTTACAGGCTAGTTCATACAACAGAAATTGCTATTTTTATCATTATGTTGTTAAATATAACAATGAATCTGACCGTGCATCCAACGTGAACTTGCGATTTAATGATTGCCATATATCAGTGTCTCAGCAATTTAATATGGTATATCTTTACGTAGAAATTCTGAGGATACGTACTGCTGCCAACTTTCCAAACGAACTGAGGCACTTTTAGCCAAATTGAGAATATGTATTCCATATTTCAGCAAAAATCTTAGGGAACCGGTATAGCGCATTGAGTAAGATATGTGATTGCTATCTAGAGGTCCCATGTTCGATCAAGGTGTTGGCCGAAAAATATCATGTGGATTTCCCGGTGTGGTTCCCCCATGGCAGTGGTGTAGGACGGAGGGTGTGCATAAGAATTGGTGACGGTTGGAATTCGTATGTTTTCATTACCCCAGTCGGTGTAAAACATTAGGCAATCTGATTAAAATACAGATCTATATTTCGTTTCGTTTTTTTATACTTTCGAGGCTTACCTTAAATGAAGATCTGACCGGTTGTTGCGATAAGTCGCGGGCGGCTTTTGACCCTATCACGTCATACGTTTGATTAACCAATCAGCATTGATATTACTAGTGGATTACTCACAGTTCCATAACAGATCGTTTCATTGGCTAATACCTCACGCCATTCAGAACACGTCAATAATAACAACTCAGATTCTAGTGTATTAAAGACAAGTAAAACAAAATTTTGAACTATAAAAATGAAACGAAATAGGATCTGTGTTTTAATCAGATTAGAACATTAGGACATTAAACCCCATTTGATTTCATTTGCATTTCATTGAACGAGCTCTCTTGGGATATAACGATTGTTTTGGTTGTATCTTTGGGTAAGCCGGTAACGATGCGGACAACATCAAGCTAAACTGGGGTCAACATACACATTCCAAACTTGACATGGGTATTCCAGCTTAGGTTTTATATATGTTTTATAGATTATGTCCAGTGACTTTTTTTTGGGGAGGGGGGGCATCTGAAGTCAGTAGGTAATGTTATTCCGAGATGTTTATTTGATGGGACTAGCATAGCATAACCGATCGAACATGGACGCGAAAGCACAATGCTTACCAAACGCTACTCATGCATTATTTTGGACAATGGTCGACTACGTACATGTATTACTTTCAGTATAATGTCGCGGCTTTCAAATCTCGGACTTACAGTTATGAACTTAAATATTCAACTTAGAATGAGACTTATCCACAGACGATAATATATCGACGATACCACTTCAAATACTAAAACGGCAACCAAATCGTATATGTATCAGGAACACAAGGAATTTTGAAATATACTTTTTATATCAAGCCAGATACAGCATTTACAAGCATAAGTCTACATAAAACAACAAAAAATGTCTTTCATCTCCGACCAGCCAGGAATAGCTTTTGACTTTTATATACCTTAACATCTAGTTATCAATTAGCTGATAGGTTTATAATGCCCAATGACGTACCAAATTGCCCAAATATTAGTTATGGTACTAATATTGACAACAGACATTTAGTCGAAATGCGTCACAGATACAATATCTGTTGGTGACAGATACGTCTTCAAAACATCCTTTTCAACCATTAATTGAAAGTAAGTTAAATGCGTTTTAAATAAACAAATAACTTTTAGGTCATATATTTTTCATATTCACGTAACTTATAATTCGATATGACATAAATCCCCAATTATATTACACTATAATATTTGGTAGATGTGAATGGGGATTAAATTGTTTTTTTCATGGGGTTGACATGGATAAACCATGTTTGCATCCAAATATGAAGTGGTTTAGACATAATTCAATATCTTTTACCGAGGATTTTTTTCATGGCAGCCCAAAGCTGTATCATCAGCGCATAATCTGAATATGTTTGTCATTGTATCTTCCATATCATTTATGCAGACTAAGAAAATGAATTATCGCAAAGCGCAACCCTGGGGACTTCCTAACAACAAAGTTGTTTTAGGCGATCTATACTCTATCAAAAGCCGAAAAAATAAAGGACAATTTGTAGTCCTCGAAGTCAGTGACGACATGAAATATTCAAGAAGTTGGTGGACTATTGAGTGTTGTGGCCTGCATCCCGATTACAAACAGACTTGGTTTTTGGACTGAAAGAAGCTGTATCGATGCTTCAGTATTATGCGCTCGAAAAGTTTACTAACAGTGCTTGGGAGAGGGTTGGGTCTGTAGTTGGAATAGGCCGCAGTACAGAACAGTGGGTCGTTAATCCCCATTTTATTTCCATTCTGATCTAAAACTCGAACTCTTAATAAATTATTTCGGTGACATAAATAACACCAGCTAATACTGTATACATATTATATAAATTATTAGTATATGGGTAATGGACTTGGTTGACAAAATTCATAATTTAGAGTCAAGTCATCAATACACAGTCAGTGGTATCTGGTGTTGTGCTGGTTTCCAACCTGTGGCATAACATAGCTGAAATCGTTGTTTTTCTGTGACTTCTTCGATTTACTTACATTGTCAAAAATTAAGAAAAAGCAGTTCTCAAAATGAATATTGAAAATGACTTCGTTTTGTTTGAAAAATTACGTTTTTAGCTTGTGGACATTTTAGAAGACACAATTTATATCCGATTTTGGTAAAGCTTGAAATGTTTGTTTATAACCAACGGATCTTGGTTCCGTTCGATATTTGCGCACATTATGGCCCCTGGTTGTACATGTAGGTCACGCTTTTTTGTCCGATTTATAATACCGTTCGATTATATCAATGCGTGTTACACCATAATGACAGTTAAGTTCGAATTTCGTGAAAATCTAACCGAAACCGCCGGACAAAATGGTTGCTCCTCGTACACAAATAGTGTAAAAGTATGGTATATCAAGGTTGTGAAACCTAAGACATTTCGGGACTAACATATGGTTCAATTTTATTTCAATAATTCGCTTGTGCGTAGGTGTCTTTGGCAGTGGGAGGAAACCGGAAGACCCGGAGAAAATCCGAGAGGTTGGACAGGCGACCCTACTCCTTGACACGCACTACCGGGGAATCGAAACCACGCCAGTTGAGAGAGAAATAGGGTTTAACGCACACTCGATATAAATTCTAGGACATTTCGGGACTAACATATGGTTCAATTTTATTTCAATCATTCGCTTGCGCGTAGGGATTCTTTAGCAGTAGGAAGAAACCAGAGAACCCGGAGAAAACAGATCTTATGAAATATAGTCATGTATCAATATCTTAACACTTCACATCCTGTTTATGGATATTAAAGAATAATATGATAATATAGTTTTGTTCAAGTGCATACTTTTTTATGCAGAATAACTACATACTTTATATATTATGTTAAACGTCGTGCGATTGTGCTAATTCCCTCAGAGGTTAGAAAAAGAAGTTGACAAATACATGTTATTGATTATCAAGTATTTAACATAGATATTATTGTGATGAATAAATTATTTTTATAAATTGAAATGGAATATCTCTCTGAGACGTATCTTTAAATGATATGTAATTACATATGACCTACACGCGATGCATCGTTGAAGTTAGTGTGGTGAGCATGTAACAAGCGGTATATTATTCGGTTTGACTATATTCTGCGCAACATTTACGAGTCGATCTTTAAAGACGTAACTGAAACGAACCAATCGCAAACTTCACATGGACTGTAATGTCCTTACAGATCATAGCATGATCAATAAAAAAAACACGTAAATACGGGCGATATTTCACATCAAAAAACATGATAAAAAAATATGAGTATTTCTTGCTTTCTTGGTAAATACTAGTTTTTCAGTGTTTTTGTTTTATGCTGTTTTTAAGGTATTTTTCGGTAGTCTTATTTCTGTATATTTCGGTATTTGTCGTTATTGGGAATAGTAAATAAACTTTAACAGGGCGGCGAAAGCAATTAATAATTGTGGGGGCTACCATCCTACGTCCTTAGGCGATGGTCCCTGGATGGTCTTGGGGTCTAGATCACCGGAGACGCTTTCTGAGCGTTTTCTGGCTAATAAAATTACGCAGCAATGAAGTGAAATTGTAATAATCATAATAATAATAATTGTTTATTCAATATCCAAGGCCCTCGGCCCAAAGTACAAGGGATACAATGATTTACAAAAGAACATGAAAATATATACATAATTATAAATTATTATAAACTGTTGATATATTTACATCTTAATCCCATGCAACTATACACATAATTTGCTAGCTGAACCTGATTACAATTACACATACTAAGTTTAAAGGCATCAGTTACACTTAAATAATTGACATTTAAGGTTAATAGTGCATTTCTAATATCACTATATAAGGTACATTTCACAATAAAATGGATTTCATCTTCAATGTGAGATTCATTGACACAATTTTTACAGTACAGACAAATTCTGTTAACTCTGTCAGTACCAGTCCAACGACCTGTTTCAGTTGCAAGGTGATGATTTGAGCATCTAAATTTTGTCAGTGATATTTTATGTGCATTAATATGTACATCAGATAAATACGCTTCATATGAAAGGGAACATTTATAAGCCGAGTAGTTAGACAGTTTAGAACTATCTGCTATTTCACTACACCAGTTTTGAGAATTTACAACTTTTAAACGTTGCTTAAAGTTGCAATTTCAAATTTTTAAGTTATATTTTTAAAATTTATTAAAATAAAGCCTTAAAATAGATGGTATCCATAAACAGTCCTACCTTGTTAAAGAATAATCCTATTAATCCTATAATTCACTATTGCCAGCTGAGAAATTGGCAAAAATATCATTTTCAACTTTAAATTCCAACGTTGTAACATGGCTGCCCATGTTGTCAATGGGAAAACATGGGAGGTAATTGTGTTTTTATTTCCTGTGTCAACTATTTTTAAGGGTGGGAAATATTGCCCGGGTCATATAATAGTGAGTTAATAACCTATTGAGCAAAAGACATAGAAATAATTATGTTTTGACTTTCTAAGAAAATTTGAAATTCTCGCTTTAAATTGCCTTAAAAATACACTTTCGTCCCCAATGCATTGCTGCTCCCAAACTAATCCAAACACATGTGTATACAATATATTTCGAACTTTACTTGCCCACTTTATTCTTCCTGCATTGTCTAAAGATAATAACATGTTGTAACAGGCTTTGGGGTAACGGTCAGTTGGCATTTCTAACAGTTTTAACCCGTATTTAATAAGCTTTGTCATATAAGTAATATAAATAGGTTCTCGACCAAGTTCACCATACACAGCAGCATGTGAAGTTCTTGAATTTACATGAAGTATAAATTTCCAAAAGTTTAAATGTACATTTTCAATATTTTTTATATCAACAAATCCCCAAATTTCAAAGCCATAAGTTAAAATAGGTAAAATGAAGTGAAATTGTGTTTCTTTTCTAACTCCCTTATCATGAAAACACAGTCTATGGTGGTTTAATCCTGACAAATATATGCATAATAAGGCTGTGGATACTCTAGAGGTCACAACTTTTATCCGATTTTGCTGAAATTTACAATTAGCGCATATAAGACCCTCACTTCCTGGATTATGCCCCCTGATTGTACGAAGTAACAATTTTTATTTGTTTGTAAAAACCCTTTTAATTATTATCAGCTAACAATTTTTATCCGATATCAACGAAACTCGAAACATAGGTATTTCTCCCAAAGGTCAGAGCCCATATGGGATTCGTCCAAAGAATCCAAAAATGAAAACCCGAAGAAGATGCGTTGAGAAATAACCGAGATATGGACAATCTGGGATTATTACCATCCGTAAAACACTTCCTGTTCGTCAGAAATGAGCCAATTGATATTTAATAAATAGATCCACGGAGGTTAACAACATCTACGTTGACAGAATTATTGCACCATATACAGTTTTGGCTGCACAAACTGACTAAATCCCCCGCCCCTCCCGCCAATAAAATTAAATAATAAAAACACTCACAGAAACAATACGTAATGTATATTTGTTTAAAAAAAGTCCTGAGATCAGCATCCAGTTATTGTAATTGTATTAAAACAAGAATATCTTAAGAGATCAGCAGTAAAAATTTTTAAAGATGCATAATGCAAAACCTAAGAGCTATATCGACCTTTTGCCGGTCTCCTTTCTTGATTCAAATGATATTTTACATTATTATTTATACACTCATGTTCATAACAAACCCATAATCATCTCTAGGTTATCGGATGGCTGGGATATTAAATGGATTATAACACAGGCGTCATTTAATAATTCAACGTTAATATGTGTCATTGAGAATTTTATTGTCTTAACAGTACTTGACAATCGAGACAATCCAAGCTACATCTTTCCAAAACTTCAGAAACACATAACTTCGCCCAGATTAAAGTAATTTGACTTTCTCAATATAATATTCATTTAACATTATTTATTTATGAACTAGTACAGCACGAAAGGTCGGGGTTATTTTTATATAAATCTTACATAATGCATCTTTAAGTATTAAATATATGAATTGATAGACACAATAGACAGATATTAAAACCTGCTGAAGTCCCGGAAAGATTAGATTTAATAAAATATATTCATATTCCCATTTATTCAATATCCCTTTAAAGAGAGTTATTTTAATCTATACGGGTCAGGTATCGTTTAAACAAGCAAACATATTTCATATTCACTACATGTACATGTGAATGAGGTCTATCAAAAACTCGACCAAGTAACCGTTTTTGTTCTTTAATATTATTTGTCATACACAAATAACTTAACTTTTTTCTTTCCTCTTACTCATAACTCGTGCAATATACATATTACAATATGTAGGTTTCAGTTATCAACTTTTGTCTATTGCACAGAATATTTTCCGCCTGTCTGACCCAGGTACATATTACCAAACGATAAGTGACACTGGATAACCGTGTACAAGGCGGACGTTAAAAACTGAAAGTAAATGGGCGACATTTACAGAAAAGATGTTGTTAATTTTACTGATTTGTGTATATTCACTTCTAGTAACAGGTAGGCACCTCAGCATTTCATATTCTTTTTACTTAGGATATTAGCTTTGTTCTGGTCAAGTAGTGTCCAACGTGTTTTAACTTCTTGTATGGCAAGTTATTAGCTGATGTATTGGGGGTATATGAAGATGAATGATATATCACTCCCTTAGGCTACTATCAATATTTCGTCGGTGTGTTTATTAATGAATTTATGAATGTGGTATGTGTTGGTGTAGAACGCTTTCTCGCCTCCTACCTTAGTCCAGGATGTAGACCAATACAATTGGTATTGATATTCTATCATCCAGTATCTAAATGGAAGGTTGACAGATGACATAAAATGTGGTTTAACGTCGTACTCATCTGCGCCGACTGGGATAATGAAGACAGGCATACGCCATACTGTGTGCTATGAGTGAAATTATGTGCGGACACCGATACTACGACCTACTCATATTTCGAATTTCAAATTCCAACTGTCAAGGGTTACTTAACGGGCACATCCATTTGTACAAGGGTCCTCGGGTTATCGTCCCATCTGAAAGACCAGAATCTGTTCTTTGTCAGCCCCCCCCCCTCCTCTCCTGCACCACTGACAAGGGGAAACCACGCGAGAAAATCCCGACGAACTTACATGGCATACACACAGAACAAACCCGGTATCCAGCGTCTTTCTCATTGAACCACCCCTTCCTATAGATAGTGGTGAAACAACTGACAACATTAATTATAATGTGATCTTATATATAGACAAGAATTAATATAATTATTTTATCTGGTTTCAGTTAAATGTGAGTGTGACATAGTTACTGTACAAGTTTCCAAACAGGCTACATTAACATTTGATCGACCAAACAACCGTTCTATGATAGAAGTAATGCATAATAACAGATCAGTATTAGTTGGATCGACATTTTTAAAAAATACAAATTATAAAGTTATAAACCGTACCGAAGAACAGTTTCGTTTTAAAATAGTGAACGTGACTAGAAATGATGCTGGTATTTATAAAGGAGGACCAGTTGGTTCATTAGCATGTATACAACTCGTTGTAACAGGTAAATGTTATTATTATTATCATCACTTTAATCATCATGATCATTTACGTTTTTTCTATATTTCGGCAGAAAATTACTCAGTGTGAATTTGATTAAAAGCCAATGAAATTAAACGAACTTTAAAACGTGTACGTAATAGATCTACTAGTGGTACAATCTGAACAAAATTAGGATTCACAAGTATGTTATTATGTAATATTGTATTACCGTAGATAAGCCAGCAACATCTATACAAGCCCAACATCAACCGGATTTAAAGCATATTAAAGAAAATGGTGAATTAAAGGGGAAGATAAGTCTGACTTGTAATGCAACATCTACAACCACACGAACTGATCATAATTTAACTATGATATATAGATTCATAATAACACAACTTTATGGATTTACTACTTCTTGGTTTATTACATGCAACGTTTCAATACTCTTACAGGTATCTTTATCAAGCAATGATCAATAATGAATAACAACTCTACATTTATAGTACATCCATGAGTAAGAACCATTTAACAATAAAAACATAACATTAATTAAGACTATAACAACAAACATTTCCCTTTGAGTATGGCTTTACCATTTTTCTTCAATCTAAGGTGTTAAAAGTGGGGATTGAAGCCACCGCCTAAGCTAAAAAGCAATCAAAACCCATTAACCACACCATCAAATATTTAATATAACTAATTTCAATACATTATGCATAATTAGTTAGGTTGAACCCACCCCCTCTTGCTCATACATTTACCATATTATTATATAGAAATTTTTTTAATTATTGTTCCAATAGAACAAATAAATAAGTTATAGTAGCCCTTATAAATAATAGTTCCACTGATAAATAAAATTTTTAATTTCCACTCCACTGATACGAATAATAACTTATAGATCCACTCCACTGATAAAAAATTATTTTAATTTTTACTTCACTGATAATTGATACTTATGGTATCCTATTGTATAATACTTATAAATAGTTCCAATAATAGATAATAACTTGCTTAACAAAATAATTCATTCCATACATTAGAAATGGCTCTTCCATTGTCTTTATTCATTTTTGGTTTTTGTCTTCGGATTTCTAATGCTTCCCACAAAACTCTTTTCTTCCATACTTTAATATTTTTGGTAAGCACATTGGTGTTGTCCCATTCTATGTTATGGGTAGGATTGTTTATAATATGTTCGGCTACTGCAGATTTGTTTGGTTCCATACGTCTAGTTGCTGCTTTGTGTTCTTTGAGTCTCACTGATAATGATCGGCATGTTTCGCCTATGTAAATGGATTTGCAATCGCATTGGATCTGGTAAACTATACCCTTTGGGTCCACTGTTGGTATTTTTGTTCTCCCATGGGCGTTGATAAGTGATTTTAATGATATCCCCCCACTAAATGTTACATCTATTTACATCTTTTAGGATAAAAGATTTTTGGGATTTATTACAGATAAACCAAGTATAAGATTATCTCCAGAACAGCCAGTTCTACAACTAGTGAATGGTAAATTATTAGGGGAGATAAATCTGACTTGTAATGCAAGATCTAAAACCTTGCCAACTGATCATAATTTAACTATGATATATAGATGGTTTAAACATGGTATATCTTATGGTAATGGTAGAATACTACAAGATAGAGATGTTGATATAAATGATAAAGGAGATGATATAATCTGTATAGCTACAGATGATCGGGATTGTAAAACAATTTTACAAGATTTAAAGAATGGTTCTACATTGAAAACAGGCAAGTTCGTTTCTATTGTTTAAACACATTCTATTTGACACTTCCGTCAAAATAGTTCAGCAGTGTGCCTTGGTCATTTTGGTAAGGCATTGAGTCAGTCAAAGTTGAACATTTTTAATAAACTGCAGTAATAAATAGCTATTTTACTTCCCATTCCTTGGAAACATCTCTGTCACTATCGTATCAACATTGCCACCGTAGAAATTTCCAACGAGAAAAAAGTTGTAGCTATTTGTTTTTAGATGTATGAATTTCTACGTGCTTTGGTATGTTGAGATCTGATTTTGATTCATCCCATTAATTTAGTTATGAAATGATTTTATATTTTCCATTCCTATAGTTACCACAGATAAAGAATGTAAAGATGTAGTAGGTGTTTCAGAAGTGTTTACTATTCAACCGCTGTGTGAGTTTTATTTACATTTGTATTTAATATATATATTTTTTTATGTACACTATAATATATTGTTATTTGTGTACACTATATATATTGTTATTTGTGCACACTATATATATTGTTATTTGTGTACACTATATATATATATTGTTATTTGTTTACACTACACATACTTCAATGTGATAAATCCCATTCAACAAACTGTCGTAACAAATTATAACAGTTAATAACGTGAACTTTCTATCAACATAACCGACAAACTAATGTGCGGAACTGGGTTAATTTTGTCACATGTATGTTTATTTAAAGGCTCTCGTCCATTAATTGGGGTCCGAAACTTCATCGCCAGTTGTTGAGGTAGGGGAGGGATTTTGTACACGATATATATTGTTATCTGTTTACACTATATATATTGTTATTTGTGTACACTATATATATATTGTTATTTGTGTACACTATATATATTGTTATTTGTGTACACTATATATATTGTTATTTGTGCACATTATATAAAAGTTGAAATGATTGTGGGTATTGCTTAAAGGTCAAAATGACCAGTTGGGTTCCACAATCACAGTTCAAGTCTCGATGGGCCATTTTAAGCAACATGAATCACTTGCAAGTTATAATATTGTAATAGATGAACCTCTATTAGACATATTAGTCCACAAACGATTCAATTCCGTTCAGTATTCACAAAGAAGCGGATTGAAATTTCATCGATCTATGCTTCTCGTTATGCTTGTCGCCATTTTGTTGTCCACGAGAATTAAATAATAGGTCTGTTTTCAATACGATAAAATCCAGACAGGGACATTTTCTCGAGTTGACTTTTTGTGTTGATAAACACAACCAAACCTCACCACTACTATCTGATACGTACAGTTTATATTATAAAAATATTACTAATTTAATATACCCAGTCATCAGACGTATCAGTGATCATATGTAAGTAATTTAATGCATATAATTATATAGTATCAATATATATAGTATGTAAACATATTGTTGACTCATTAAGTAATAAAATATTGTTTTACAGATAGGCCATATTATGATATTCCATTAATCTATGATTACCAAACCTTATAATTATATTACAGATGGACCATATGATATACAATTAATCTATGATGATACAAATCTAAAACCTGGTGAAGAAATAACGAAACGTGTAGGAGAGGAATTAACAGTTAATTGTACGAGTGATTGTAATCCAGCATGTAATATCAGTTGGTGTAAAGATGGGAAGATGCCGAGTTCTAATCAACAACTCAATCTACCAGATGTACAAGAATCAGATGATGGGGTTTATACATGCACAGTATACAATATACATGGTACCAAAAATGTATCCTTTACACTATCTACCAATCCACCTTCTATTAAAACGACGACAGCCATGGAAATAACAACTATTGAACACCAAACAAACAGCGATAATACACCAAACAGCGATAATACACCAAACAGCGATAATACACATGCCAGCGAAGGTCTGTTATTTTGCTTCTAGTTTTACTATAAACTAAGAAAAACAATAATTAGTCCGGTGGCTGAAAGGGGCGGATGGAATCGCCACCCCAGCTGTGAATTTATGAGACCAAGTTTTTCTAGACCAGTTTTTTGCATAGATTCCGAATCTAGGTGGTGATCATGCGTTTGAGGGGGCGTTTTCGAGAAAGCTAAATCTTACGTAAATCATTTTTAAAGTTAGGTTAGTATTAATGTACGTATGTTAATTTAAGTTCATGTGAGTGAGTTTATTACTTTAGGGAACAATTCTAACACATCCAGTTGCGTAACTGGTAAACTAAGATATAGAATATTTTATTTGATAGGTAATCAACAGTTAATAATTGGATTAACAATTGGTGTAGTAATACTGGCGATTATTGTAAGTGTGTTAATAGTTGTGTTTATCTGTATGAAGATTAGAAACGGTAAGATCATTATTACCCTTTTGTGGTACAACAAAAATAATGTGTACAATAAAACATAACGTCCAAATAGCCCATCTACCGACTTCTACTGCTAGGGACCTCCTCTGCTCAACTATTTACATCTTGAATTGCCTATCTAACGACTTGTACTGCTCAGCTACTGCTATTGCTCAGCTATCGACCTGTTGGCCGACAACCCAATTAGATTCGGACACTACAGAACTGACACTTACTTCCAAACCATGTTTGGCAATCACTGTTTGATAAGTCAACTACCCAACGGTTGTTAAATAGTGTAAAGTAATAAATTAAATTAGTTTCAGTTGTTCCTTTTACTTTCGTCGATAAAATATCATTAACAAGACCAAAGATTTGTATAAACAGCAAACAATTTTTTCACCTGAGAAGAAAATAAAATTCAGTCATTTAACAAAGAAAATCTAAACAGGCGTAAAGCATGTATATGTTTAATGTGATGTGATGTTCTTATTTCATTTTATTCTATTTTATTTTGTATATTTTCTAGTCCCTGGGGGCTACACGAAGAACCAAAAGAGAAGGTAAATACAATGTTTATAAATAAACATATTATGATCATCACTTCATATTATCATTTTATATCATCATCACTTTATATTACAATCATTTTGAATTATTATTATTTGTATTATTATCAAATATAATTATTGAATTTATTTGCATCATTTCATTTTATTATCATTTTGAATTATTATCATTTTGTATTATATATTATTAATTGTCTGATCATCATTTTTTATTTTTATCAATTTATTTTTTATCAATTTATATTTTATATTATTTTTTTATATAATTATTAATTTATATTATTATGATTTATTTTATTATCATTTACATTATTATCATTTACATTATTCATTTTATATTATTATGATTTTTTTTATTGTTTGATGGCAAGTATCTTAATTAATATTATTACAATTTTATATGTTTTCATTTTAGAAAAAAGAAAAAATCTTGTGCACAGATGATTTATCCAGGATGGCACACCAACGGTAATCAAAATGTTTATCAATTGAATTAGAATGTGTCGTCAATTCTCGGTTAATATTTTATTTGTAAAAGTGACAAATTTTAAGTCAACAGTCAGCCAGCGAAATGCGTTATTGATTTAATATAAGGAGCATTAATGATAATTTGCAAACCATTTTCTGTTATAAACTAGGTTTATAGATTGACTAAGTAACGGGTTCGTTGCAGTATACAAGGGATTTGTTTAATATGCTGATAATCGCAAAATTAATAAACAAAAATAGTTGCATTGATTTTATTAGTTCTTTGCTTAGTATGTATGGCGAGAGTGAGAAACAATATAAATTACTGCTGATTCTTAAAGCGTGTAGCTGTATACTTTGAAAACTTAAAATATACGAACATGGGTCTGAAATTCTAATTGTTTTTTTTTTAAATTTCGAACCCTACAGATAAAACTGAGGTCGAGATTTAGCTTATTTAAACAATGTCCTAATGGCAAATCCTGTTTTAAGTTTAACGTTAACGCCTGTCGATTATTCAACATAATTATTTTATTTTTATTTCAGAAAATCAGCCTGATGATGAAGAAGGACTATTTGAGGCAATAGAGCTGCACCGTGGCGCCGCATTGGCTGATACTAAGCGTAATTCCGCTAAATTCAAATTAAGAGAGGCTCATAAAGTAAGTAAGAACAGAAAAATTAAAAGTGAAACTATAAAAATGATATTTATGAAATGAAAGTAAAAGGTATGAAAAAGTGAAACAGGTTTCTGAAATGTTTGGAATTGATAAAATTATGTATTTTTCCTTTCCCATATAAATAATCCTACAATATCCATGATAAAATATTTTTAATACGTCATGTTAAATAGCACAGAATACCTGTATGTTATTTAATATCATGGCTATATTCATAATGGGCTTAATTACGTCAAACCAATAAGGATATACTCAAGATGTCATTCGATTATTTAATATCGCAAAACATTTGTTTTATTTTCAGAATATAGAAGATTTAATTTATGCAGATTTAGATTTACAACTTTGTAATAATAACATTATTCATGGCCAGAAATATAAAATTATCTACGGAGTTATTGACTTTAACAAGATACCACCGCCACGCCCCTGTGGTTATGTGTCAGAAGAAGACTCTCCGTCTTCTTCATAGAGTATTCTTTCTGGAAATACATCATCATCTTCATCATAATCTGGTTTATTTACTGTTGGTATATATTGCAAATACTTGTTTAGAAATGGTTCACCGGGATTTTCCGACGTGGTTTCCCCTTGTCAGTGGTGCAGAACGGAGGGCCTGACGAGGACAGCTGTCTAGTCCTTCGGATGAGACGAAAAAACGTGGTCCCGTGTATATATTGGAATGCACGTAAAAGATCCCCTGGCAGTTGGAATTCGATATAAGAGTAGGCGATAGTGCCGTTGTCCGGGCAAAATTTCCCTCATAGCACACTGTATGGCGTATGCCCGTCTTCATTAGCCCAGTATAGGAGCAGAACAGTAGGACGTTAAACCCCATTTCATTTCATTTGTTTAGAAATGAGATATATGAAACAATTCTTAAAATGTTAAATTCAATACAGGCATACATTTTTGTTGTGCATGGATATATTAATAAAATGACTTGAACTATTTGGGTAAAAACTAAAAATATCGATTTATACGTTGATTTTTTTTTTTGGGGGGGGGGGGGTGGCAGAGGGAGTTTATGTATGGCTTTTATAACATGTTTTGTCATATAGTTTACCGTTATAGCATATAGCTTGCCGTTATAACATATAGCTTGCCGTTATTACATATAGTCACCATTACTAGCTTGTATATATGGACTAGGTTAATTTGTATTATTATTGTGCATTTATTCTAATAGCATACAAGTTATATTATTGTAGAAAGTGTTGTTAATATTGTATAAACGGGAAAACTCTAGACAATTATCAGTGAAATACGGTTTAACATGGGTCGTGTTTGGGTTGATACATATCCTGGAGAGACTAGTGTTTTAGGAACACTGAAAACTCAACACACCAAAGACTCCTTTTATCGGTGTGGAACGTCACATGTATGCGTATTGTTCTTGATGTACATACCCGGTAATGACATTATTTTTGCAAAGCTCACAGAGGAACGAAAAGTACTTTTAAAATATTACAAAACCACTGTTGAAATCAGTTTGTGTCGGCAAACTTTAAAAAATTTTATCGTTCACCGTGACACAAAGTAGTGTAGCTGTACGGTTGTGCTAATAGTATTTTGGATAATATATCTGACAATGACCGAAAAGATACTTTAAAAGATTATTAAACCAGTGTTGAAATCAGTTTGTGTGGACATACCTTTTATCTTTTCATCGTTTACCGTGAAACAAAGTAGTGCAGCTTTACGGTTATGCTAATATACTATTCAAAAAAAGTAGGGGATATTTGATTTTTAAGTGTTATTAAAGTCACCTAATGAAACTGACGAAGAAACAAATGACAAAATGAAATGAAGTTCACATTCATCGATTTATTCTAAATGATCGTTAGACTAAGTAAGGCACAGACTGACCATTATAAGGGTAAAATGATACCCGGGGTCAAACAGGAAAGTTACCACAGCATCACAACCAAGTCAGTAACGGGTAAATCCTCCTCTGTTTGCCAAACAAGCATTGATCCGACGTGGCATACTCTTAATGAGACGTCTAAGGTCATTTTGGTCCGGATTGTCCCATTCCTGTTGCAACGCAGCAGCAAGTTCTTGGACATTGGCAGGACGTTGTTGACGTTGACGTAACCTCTGTCCAAGCATGTCCCAGACATGCTCGATGGGGGAGAGGTCGGGACTCAGTGCTGGCCAAGGTAATGTGGTGATGTTCTGTTGTTGGAGGTAACCTGTAACGATCCTGGCCCTGTGACATCTTGCGTTGTCATCCTGGAAGATGAAACGGCGGCCATGACGTCGTGCGAACGGCACAACATGGACTGCCAAGATGTTGTCCCGGTAGTACTGGCCTGTAACACGCCCTGCAACAACATGTAAAGCCGTTCTTCCAGCAACAGTGATGCCTCCCCACACCATAACAGAACCAGCCCCAAATCGATCATGTCTGATGACGTTAACGTCTTGGAAGCGCTCGTTTCGACGACGCCACACCCTCCTACGTCTGTCCAAAAAATCAACAGTGAACCTTGACTCATCTGAAAACATCACATTGCTCCAGCGTCGATTATCCCAGTGTTGACGATCCCTACACCAACGACGTCTTGCCTGAATGTGATGATCTCTCAAACAAGGGATCACGCGAGGACGTCGGGCGCGAAGGTGACCCCTATGCAGTCGAATCCGAATCGTCTGGCCACTCACTCTCACACCAGTGTCTGTTTGAAGACGAGCACTGATCTGATTTGCTGTGATGACACGATTTCTCAAGGCCAAGGTACGGATAAATCGATCCTGGGCTTGAGTTGTCGCCCTTGGTCGACCTGAGCGTGGTCTGTCCTGTACAGATTGTGTATCACGGTATCTGGACCATAGCCTGCTTATGACAGACTGAGAAACATTCATCGTCCGCGCCACAACCGCCTGTGTTGTGCCGATCTGTAGCATGCCAAGGGCACGTAACCTTTCATTTTGGGTAAGCCGACGCATATCAAAATTTGTTTTCTGGTCACTAAAACAATTAAACTGATGTTTCCACTCTGGAATTCAATGCCACAATGACTGTAACATTCAAAGTCAGAGTCGTGCAAATCTTGGGTTGGACCCCCATGATGATCCCAAGCATCACCTGCATTCCATTCGGTAGCTATTGGTGCGTTTGGGCGTCACATGTAACTGGAAATGTTTCTTCTGTTAGGTTCTATAGTGACTTTTTTCGTAGTCATTTGCATATTTTAGTATTATGCCCCCAAAATCAAATATCCCCTACTTTTTTTTAATAGTATATTTTGGGATGTATATTATTTCTGACCATGAGCGAAAAAGTACTTTAAAATGTTATCATTAAACCAGTGTTGAAATCAGTTTGCGTTGGCATATCATTTATCGTTTAGTCGATTACAATACCAAGCAGGGTAGTGCAAATATTTTCTATAATATGGTTAGTGAGTAAGCACTTTAGACACCGAGTCACCGTCTTGACATTACTGACGCAAGATGAATGTCTCAGAAAACTCTCACACGTTATATTTCGATGTCATCGTAACAAAGCAAAGGAATCTCTGGTCTGGTATAACAAAGGTAATAAAGTGAATCATATACCAACCCACTTCCCCTTCGTTATGTGCAAGTGAATGGTTACGGAAGGGCTGATATCACCGCCAAGAAGAAAAAAAAGAAATCCTAATTCCTTTGATGTAAACCCTCGACACAGATGTTAAAAGCTGCAATTAAAGTAAGCGTAGCCTTTCATGTAAACCACTTAATTAAAGTAAATGTAGCTCTGTTTAAATGTAGTGAAGGGTTACTTTCTACCAAGTAGCTTTGGATTTTAACACCCAGGGCGAGACCACCTCTTCCAAGAGAGAGGGAGAAAGAGAGAGAGGGTTTAATGTCCACTCAACACAAACTATATGAATTGCACGTAGGGGCTTTAGCTGTGGGAGGACCCGGAGAAAACCAACGAGATTGGACAGGCGAATCTACAACCACACCAATTGACTCAAGTGATTTCACGCGCACGAGTTAAACCACTAGGCGACCCACCCCCACAAACAGCTCCGACTGGGCTAATGAAGTGTGTTATGAGGGACATTTTGTCCGGGCAGCGGCACTATGGCCTACTCTTATATCGAATTCCATCTGCCAAGGGATCTTTTACGTGTACGCCAATGTATACATGGGACCTCGAATGACTAGACAGCTGCCATTGCCAGGCCCTTTGTCTTGCACCACTGACAAGGGGGAACAACGTCGGAAAATCCCGATGAACTTTCTCGGCCAATGCAGGGATCGAACACGCGACCTCCAGGCTAGCGAGCCAGCGTCTTACCCACTGAGCCACCGTGGCTCCTTGACCGATCAAAGATGTATGACTAAGTATGACAGGCATACACGCGATCAAAGATATATGCATAGGTTTTATTTTGGGTCATGTTAAATTTAATGCATCACAAGCCATGATTTCATATTAGACACGCAAAAGACATAGCTCCTTTAGTAAATCCTATATATCCGGCTTTATTTGCTATTGTGAGTCATAATACAGTCTTTATTCATTCGATGACAAACTATCAAACGTGACCTAATTCAATTGTTATATTTATGATTATGTGATCCTGGCGTGCACAAAAATTGATACATTGGTTGCATTATTATTCATCTGTACAGAAAACATCCCCTCTTGTCCGTAAAGGCCTACGCATACTAATATTTTGTCGCCGAAAGCCCGACTTCTGTAGAACACAAAACACCGATTTTCGATCACAGACAATTAATAGTCCTGTCAGGCTCGACAATTTCCTATTATTGTTATCGTTAAGCCTGGACAAAAAACACATGTCAAAGTCTTAATGGGAGATGCTAATTGTAGGTCTTGGGGAGTGAAATGTAAAATGTAAGTTCAGTCTTCTAAAAAGGGTTAGGGTTAGTATTCCCCAAAATATTCATTTATATTGTGGATTCCAGAAATTCCCGAACCTACTCGACCGACCTATAATTTGGGAATACTAACCCTAACCCTTTTAAGAGGAGTAAAGTTTAAATTGGATCCAAGTTCAGTCTTCTAAAAAGGGTTGGGGTTAGTATTCCCCAAAATATTCATTTATATTGTGGATTCCGGAAATTCCCGAACCTACCCAACCTACCTATAGTTTGGGAATACTAACCCTAACCCTTTTAAGGGGAGTAAAAGGTAAATCGGATCCAAGTTCAATCTTCTAAAAAGGGTTATTTATATTGTGGATTCCGGAAATTCCCGAACCTACCCAACCGACCTATAATTAGCATCTCTTTGATTTATTAGCGAGAGAATGGAAATACTCGATTGATGAGGCAATGTGACTATAAATGTTTAGTAAGCATATGTACAAGCCAGGACATAAGGCACTTGTCTTCGCCATAAGGCATCTCTCTCAGATATAAGGCACCTCTCTCAGAAATAAGACAACTCTCTCAGAAATAAAGCACCTATCTCAAATATGACCAGGCACGAATTATTACACAATTTTAAAGAATTTTAATATCAAGAGCCCATATTTTCCAGGTAAGATAACCACGTCACTACTGATTGGAATGGACCAATAGTTCACGTTTGTAATGTTGTATTTGGAAGACTGTGGATACTATTGAGTTAGAGCTTTACGTCATTTAATTTAGTATCTTGTTTTTTGATTCCAAGTTTATACGTGACAGGGAGTAGGAGGCTTACAATAAAGATTTCGTGAAGAAATATCCCATTTAACATCATCACTTAAAGTTGGCAGTTCTCACTATAATAGTTAAAAACTAGATAACGTAAAGGCAATTTGCTGAAAATTTCATTCAAATTGATCCACTATGAACCGAAAACTAAGCGAATGAAATTTCTGCCTAGCCTCGGTCATCATAACTAAAGTCAGTACGATAAACAGCATAGACTCAATTATCTATTTAATCGTTTAATCGAGAAGGAAAGTTATGCAGTAAATCGGCTCACAATCCACTTAAGATCGCAGGCTAGCGATGCCATCTAGAGTTGATTATGGTCTGGATAAGTTAATTAATGTCTAATTAATAATTTAGATAACATTTCAGGCCTAAAGAAAGACCTGCAATAGACAGATTTAGCTCTTGCATAATGTATGTTTAATGACCCCCCTCCCCCACACACACACACAGACACAGACACCACGCCTTATCTAATTTCTGCACTAACTGTATATTGACTTATTGGGAGATGGTAATTGTAGGCCTTGGGAAGGTTCGTGATTTTCCGGAGTCCACAATGATTTTTATAAAATGAGTATTTTTGGAATACTAACCCTAACCCTTTTAAGAGGAGTAAAGTGTAAATTGGATCCAAGTTTAGTCTTCTAAAAAGGGTTAGGGTTAGTATTCCCCGAAATATTCATTTATAAAAAGCGACCATTGTGGATTCCGGAAATTCCCGAACCTACCCAATCGGCCTATAATTAGCAGCATCTCCCTGATGTATTAGCGAGTGAATGGAAATACTCGCTTGATGGGTCAATATGACTATAAATGTTTAGTAAGTGTGGGAACACCACACCACACTACGCATAACACTATATACTATTACTACATGAGATAATACATGATGAGCTATAATTATAGAAAGGTCATACGTGACGTTGAGACTTGTTTTTTCACTAACGTCTGGTATACACGAGACTATATAAAGGTGTACGATGTAGTTTGTTGTGTTTAGTGTAGTTTATATATGTATATGTATGATATATCAATGTTGCTGTTTATATACCCAATCCTTCTGTTATTTACTGCCTCCGATACAGGTAAATATGTCTTTAGTGTGTAATAGTCCCCGATATAATCTAGTGTATTGAATACGGTGGTTTTAACCTAACTGTATAACCTGACCTAGTAGTAGATGTATGGTGTAATAATAATATAGTTAGTTATATGCCGAGCTATGTACAAATAACTCAGTCACCCACTCAGTTCATATAAAGTCCTTAACAATATATTCTTAATTTCTCTGACTAAATTAACTATTTATATTTCAGTTAGAAATCCCACAATACACCCCCCCCCCTTCCGCGTGTACAATTGTATACAATATTATCAGGGTTAATCTTATCGTTTTGTTATCAAACCGAAACTAATACTTCCGTGTATAAAAACGGTAATAATCTCCATATTTAACTAGAAAATGATTTACTATTTAAAGGATTGTCAATGTCATGTATTACTTTCTCTGACTGTTGAAATGAGAGAGAGAGAGAGAGAGAAATGGGGTTTAACGTCCACTCGACACAAACTAGGTCATTTCGGGACTAACATGGTTTAATTTTATTTACATAATTCGCTTGCGCGTAAGCGTCTTTAGCAGTGGGAGGAAACCGGAGGACCCAAAGAAAACCCACGAGGTTGGACAGGCGACCCTACTCCTTGCCACGTACAACCGGGGATTCGAAACCACGCCAGTCGACTCAATGACAGACTTTATGATACAGCGCGCGCACGCTACCATTCAGCCATCCAACCCCCCCCCCCCCCCTGACTCTTGAATGATTTTTATGTTTATGTTTTGTTATCACAAGTTAAAATAGCACCATTAGTTTGATTCACAGTATATTTAGTTGAATCGCAGTCTATTTAGTTGAATCGCAGTTTAACAATTACCAGATTTAATAGTAAAATTTTAAACTTGGTAGAAAATAGATAACAGGGTTAGGGCAGGGTTGTGGATTAGGGTTAGGGTAAGGCTTAGGCTTAGGCTTAGGGCTAGGTCTTGGGTTAGGGTTAGGGTTAGTGCCATTTGTTTCCCAATTCTGTAGATAGTACATTAGAACAAAATATTCAATAATGAATGTTCAATAACAAATCTGTAATTTTATTACGATTATAAGACATTACATTTTGTTTCCCATCGCAATTCGACCATTGTCTCTCTATGTAATTTGTATATTTATCAGGTCAAATAATTATTTTTAACTATTTTAAGGCAATCTTCATCGCGAATCCAATTGAAATGCTGACCCACCTCATCGCCCCATTGCCTTAATGACTGCACAAGATTTACAGTAATTCACTTGTGTCGACTGGTATTTATAATGTGAAACTATTACACGATATGTACTTCCTTATCGTCATCATGGAGGAAATAAATACTTAAAAAAATCTGCCCTGGTTTAATATTATTTACATGACTCACTATCCAATATTGAACGTTAAGAGAGTTAAAATTTAACGTCGGTAATAAGATAATTATCCTACAGTGTTATTTCAATAGGACACATGCATTAGCACTGGGATGATAGCGGAGTACCCGGAAAAAACGCGCGAAGTTGGACAGGCGATATTACTCCTTGTGATGTTTAAGCTTTTGACCGAAAGCACACCA